TCAAAATGCAAAGGTATAATTGAACATCTGATGATCTCACCAATGATGGCCTATACCAAGCTCTAGAAGGCACTAGAGAGCTCCTGACCAATGAACTATGCTCAATGGGTTCACTTGCTTTTCTTAGTCTTCTGGAAAATTTCTTAGAAAGCCACGCTTATTTTTAGTAGGCTTGACTTCGAAAAAGTTGTTCCTGGTACAAAATTCAATAAAGTATTATATTTGACGATAACTTAATATACCTCATGATTATAAAGAGAAAAAAATACAAATTTTTTAGAGACGTATTTTTTGGATTTTTTTTTTATATGGAATTGGATTCCGAGCAATAGACCCAACTTTAATACAATATAGTAAGCTATTTTTCATTTAATCAATTATAATTAGTTATACATTATAGAATTATTTTTAAAAAAAAAACAATAATTTTTATTAAGTACAATAAGCACTCAAACTCATACATAGACTCATTTAATCAATTCTAACAGTAATAAAAGAAAAAGTGCAGCAACGCATTTACAAAATATTGCAGCAGTTAGGATTGATAATCCAATTTAAAAGGCAAAATTGATCCTCATTTCCCTTGTTCTTAACCCATAGAAAAGCCTGAATCTGCCCTTGATAAAAAAAATCAATCATATGAACTGAGCCGCCTCTAATTACTGTATCATTCCTGGTGATTCAGATGTTCCAAACAAGGGAAAATCAAACTACAACTCACCAATCTTCGCGCTTAGTTTAGTGACTAAAATTATTAGTTAGTCGAAATTATATCCCATGAGTTGTATCTTTGAGTCTTACATAATTTTTTTTTTGTCGCAATATACTTAAAATATATACTAATTACTCTCGGTAAAAAAACTGCAGCGCACCCCAAATAAATTATATAATTATTAATAACTTATCTTAGTTTTTGTGCAAAATTTTAAGCCCAAGTCAACAATTGTAATGTTGGCTCCTCGAGTTTTGTCAAAAGAAAAAAAAAAATTTAGAAACCAAACCCACCCAATGATTAATTGCTTTTGCTTTCGATGTGAAATGTTATAAAACGTACGTTGACAGGCTGACTTGCAAGGAAATTTTGTTTTTGTTAATTAAAATGGTTTTTTTAATTTGTGCTTTAAAAATGTATTAGTTGTAAATTTTTTTCATTAATTTATATAAAAATAGAAATTAACTTTATTTTTAATAGTAATAATATGTACACAATTTTAATTAATATTTGAGCGTTTGGTATGGTGTGGCTCTAATTACTTCTCTATTTTTTTTT